TGTGTGTGTGTGTGTGGTTGTGTGTGTGTGTGTGTGTGTGTAGACCAGTGGTAGATTTCAAATATGTGTAATTCTCTCTCTCACAGAGCATTAGAAGGACAGGCCTTGCTGCTCTATCCAGTTTTTTCATAAGCTATAGGAATCAAACTCAGATCTCTTTGGTTGTTCAGTGGTCAACCAATCAACTGAGGCATCTGCCCAGCTCCCACATGTTTATAAGGATTCAAATAGGAAGGACCTTGTCTCTATTTTGCATTAGAAGCAAGGATATTCTCCTACTCATGCTTTTATTCTTTAGTTTACCTACTCCATTTCCAATAGCTTCTTGTTAGGAGACAAAACAATGAATGAAAATTCCCTATGCTTAGCTGCCATTTCATGACTGTATGTATGCACAGGTTAATGTGATGAAAGGAAGAGACATGTTTGTCACAGATGATGCATTGAAATGCAGAAGAAGTCAAAGAGAAAACAGGTTAATGAGAGCTTAAAGGATACCCTACTTAATTAGTGCTTGAAGAGTGAAATTAAAGGTACAAGTGTTGCAAGTAGCCACCCTGAGGTTGACTAGGAAAGCAGCACCAGGTAGGATACCCCAAGAGAGAATGTGAATACATGTTCCTGGAAAGAATTTATGTGTGCAAAGATAGGTTGGATGATTAAAACTTCACTCATGCCGGGCGTTGGTGGAACACGCCTTTAATCCCAGAACTCGGGAGGCAGAGGCAGGCAGATCTCTGTGAGTTCGAGGCCAGCCTAGTCTCCAGAGTCAGTGTCAGGATAGGCTCCAAAGCTACACAGAGTAACCCTGTCTCGAAAAACCAAAAAAGAAAAAACTTCACTTAAGTGGAAAGATGGGGATGTTTCAGGTTCAGAACAAAATTATCTTGGGTAGTCAGTAATGCCCTTTATAGCCAGTTTTGTACTCCTCTATATGTGACAAGTTAATACTTTGTGACAATCAGGTTGTGTTTTTTTTTTGGGGGGGTGATATGAATAGACACCTAATTTCCAAGTATCAAAGAATGAAGAACGCTGTGAAATAGCATTCATGATCCTTGGCAGAAATTCTGTCCTTGTTTCTCCAATCTGCCTATTTAATGCAGACACCAATGTATTTGAAGTATTTGTTATTGTTCTTCAATTTTAGGATCACAACCTCTGCCATAAGTCAGGTTTGGCCACCTGCCCTCAGTAAGCTAATTAAAAGTATAAAAATAATAATGGAAAGCAGAAAAGGTAGATGTATTCAATGCGGCCATATTGGGAAGAGGGAAACAGATCTGATGTATCTTCAGGTTCCTGAAATGAAGATAAGTTGAAATAGACACATCTTAGTGCACATCTAAGCAGTCCTGGTCAAGGTGTGGTCCTGCAAACTTTAGAGTCATCAATGTCTGCTTCTACATTTCAGATCCTGTAAGGTGATCTGAAGAGTTGCTGGAACTGCATGAAATCTCAGAGATAATTGCTACCTCTAGATGGTGACTTTTTTTTCCAATGTAAGATTTCTGGGGGAATTTCCATATTTGGGGGCCCTTTGTTTCAATAGTGAGCAACATGTGTGTTATATATAATAGAGTCACATGTGTCTCTTAAAGAATCCTCATCTTTACCAGGCTGACTACCTTAGTTTGGCCTTCTTTGTTATGTTACCCTACACAGTTCATGAAATGGCTTCCTCATTGAAACATGATGTTTGAGGAAACTTAAAACTGTGTTCCTGGGCCATGCTCATGCATGTGTATTTGCCTCTAGAATGAGTCACCTCTTTATTCCTTTAATGTGAGAGCTGCTTCTTTTGAGATGGTTTGGAGCATCTGTAGTAGGTAGGGGCCCTGTTGTTCAGTGATGACTCATGTGATTCATGAGGTCAGAGTACCCAGGCACAGAACTAGACAGGCTATAGTGTGCAAAGTTTCACTCTCAAAAGGAGTTTTGATGGGCTTCATTTGAAATACGGATGTCTATAACAGTCTTATACTCAAATGAATTATGTGTGTGCTTCAACTTTCTACGTAAACTGAGTGGGCGAACAAAGGTTGCTGAATGTCACTGTTTCGAGGTTGACCTAACAATCACAAGGAACATTTCTAAGTCACACCTGTTTATTGCATTGCTGCTCTTCTGAGAGGCAGAAACCTGCGATTTCCTTCTAGTCAACCTACAACTTTCTATGTCCCTCATTCCCAGGCTGTGGGAAAAGAGAGAAGTAGACATTCTCATTGTTTTATCACGGATGGTTCTGCCTTTTAACAAAGAGCTTAATTGTAGCAGAGAGGTTGTTTTTCCTCCTTTATTCAAGGATGTAAATAATACCATTGGAATATATCACTAAGTTAGAAGGAAGTTCTAAAATATGTGTCAGTGTGTGTCTGTGATTTGAATACTTGGGCTATGATTTGACTTTTAGAGGAAGAAAATGATAAAGGGGAAGGTTTGCATATGTTAAATAGTGACTGGCTGCCGATGCAGATGGAATACTGTAAACAAAGGACACATGTTCCTTGGCAATCTTGGCCTACCAGAGTTTTGCACACAGGTGTTGCAAAGATGTACATTCAAGCATGCATTAACTACAGGAGGAGCCACTGCTGCTGGGGTCCTTTGTGGGACTGTCACAGTGCCTTTCTTTGTTCCTAAGAGAGACAAGGGATTTGGAAAATAGTAGTACTATGTACTTGGGGTGATAAAAAAGCATGTTCTGTCTCTGTGACAAAACAAACAAACAAACAAACAAAAAAACAGGTAGCTGCATCTTGTGTAGATGAGTGATTTACTACAAAGCCACTTTGCAATAAAAGGCATTCTGGGAAATGCACTCTGGTTCTCTTCAGAAGCTTTACAATTGTGCCCATGCAGGCAGTGTCAGGTGTGGGCTCTTTCTCATAGTGTGGGCCTCAAGTTGGCTCAGTCACTGGTTGGCCACTCCCACAGGTTCCACACTACCAGTACCCCTGCACATCTTGCAGACAGTACATATTGTATAGGTCAAAGGTTTTGTGGCTGTTTTGATATCCCAGTCTCACTGCTAGGAGCCTTAACTGGTTACAGAAGATAACTATTTCAGGTTCCATAGCCTCCATTGCTAGAAATCTTTGCTAAGATCACTCTTGTATATTCCATGGAGTTCCCACGGCACTATGTTTCTATATCACCCCCTCAAATAATCCCAGTTTCGGTTATCTTTCCCAGCACTCTCTCCTTTCATCCCTCCCACCCCCTACCTAATCCTTCCTGATCACTTTTCCACCTGTCCCCAGTATATCTGCAAAATCTATTCTACTTGCCTTTCACAGGGTTATCCATGCAACATCTCTTGAGCCCTACTTGTTACTTAGCCTCTCTGGGTCTGTGGATTAGAGCATGATTATCCTTTACTTAGCATTAATATTCCCTTATCAGTGAGTACATACCATGTTTGCCTTTTTAGGTCTGAGTTACCTCACTCGGGATGATCTTTTCTAGTGCCATCCATTTGCCTGCAAATTTTTTGATACCATGTTTTTTAACAGTCGAGTAATCCTCCATTTTGTAAATATACCACATTTTCTTTATCCATTCTTCAGGGGAGTTTATTTTCAGTCTACTTTGTTTTCAGTTTCAGGACAGTCTAGAGACCAAGGATAAAATCAAAAGGGCTGGCAAAAAAGTAAAAAGTTAATTAAATCATTCATATTGAAAATTTTCTATACTCATAGATCAGTGCTTATCCCAAGTGTCATCAGAGAAGTATCATCTACGAACTGATATGAATAGTTGTAGAAACTCACAGATAAACACTAGGCAGATCAAGGGAACCCCCACAGAAGAAGGGATGGAAAGACTGTAGGAGCCAGAACATGGTCCACAGAATCAACTATGCAGGGCTTATAGGAGCTCACAGAGACTGAAGCAAGAAACATGGACCCTGTATAGGTCTGAGCTATGTCCTTTACATATACCACAACCATGTATGTGGTGATATATTGTTTATGATTTATTAAAGCTTCTTTGAGGATTCAGAAAGGAAAGTCAGCCTTAAGATATAGAGATCATGCAGTGTCGGTACATGACTTTAATACCAGGACTTAGGAAACAAACATAGATGGATATCTCCGAGTTCAAGGCCAATACATGAGATTGAATCAATCTAAAAGAATAACAGAGCTCACACCTTTAATCTAGAGAGATATAAAAAATAGGAACAGGGTCTTCAGTGGTGAGTTTCATGAGTCTCTAGCAGTCTGAGTGACTCTGAGGAGCAGTGAAGTTAGGAGCAGTCTGAGATATGAGCTGAGGAAGACATAAGAGCTAGTGGCCAGCTGCTTTGCTTATCAGATCTTCACCTTGAAGCTTGAACTCCAATATCTATTTCTGGGTCTTTTTTCTTCGTGCTATGCTTTTATGGCTTGGTTGTTCTTGTGGGACTCCCAGCAGTGCGAATGTGGGTCAGTTATCTCTGACTCTTTTGTCTGTCCTTGGGACCCTTTATGTCCTACTGTGTTGCCTCATCCAGCCTTGATATGAGGGTTTGTGCCTAGTCTTATTGTAATACCTTAGGCCATGTTCAGGCCATGTTCTCTGGAAGGCCTGCTCTTTCTCTCCCCTCTCTCTCTCTCTCTCTCTCTCTCTCTCTCTCTCTCTCTCTCT